AAGTAGTGATTCATTTGTTAGATAAAAATACAGTGGCAATCATGTAAGGCAAGTACAAACATAATGGTGTGGATGGAAAAGATGGTGAAGTATTTTGAATGGTGGGATGACTGCAATTTTGAAGGGCAGTGGATGTGTCTGAGGAAAAGGACGTGATCACAGCCTCAATTTTTGTACCACAAACAGTCATTGAGAGGAAGTGCGAAGATATTCTGATTAAGTATTAACAGGATTTTGCTGATTAAAAATGACATTGTTTTATTGTAAATAAAGTGATGGAGGTGAGAGACAAGTCTACATTTGTAGAATTGTCTTGCAGATCATTGAGTCAAAGCTGATGAATTGCAGAGTGTAATTACGGTTAGCTTACAGAGTTCATTCCATGGTCTGCAAAAGCAAAAGGATAAAGGGAATGAAGTATGAAAAAAGGATATGTCCATCATTTTGATCTTGGCTTGGTCTCAGTTCAAGTGGATCATATTTTGGAGCATTCATTCAAGAATTTGTTTATTTGTAGTGTTACTATTACTTCATACATGCTTTGTTAATATTAAGACGCTTCTTGAAATCCATGTAAATTCTGAAAGACTGTTTATCTTGAGTTGCAATCTGCAGAAAAATATTTTTTCTAAGTCATATGCAAGGAAAAAAACTATTGGGAAAATATAGAATAGACATTGTGATGGATCACAGTGTTCAATATGCTCAGCTAAAGAAATTTTGGTTTTTACAGTTCACTTACGATTTAACAGATCTCAATTTGAAAACTTACTAAGGCACAGCTGCATGTCTGCAATTTTAATGAAAATTCCAAACATTATTTGAAATTCTGTAAGACCTAATAACTGAAAAAATACTCTATTGTACAACACCTTTGATGACCACAGGTCATTCTGAGGCCTTTGCTCTCAGCAAGTGCCATCACTGCTGTCAATTCAGAAATGTGGCAATCTCATTCCCTGCAGCTTTGTTTCCAACTTTTTCTTTTAAATATCAAATTGAAGTTATTATCTTGCTAGCTGTTAATGATCTTAATTTTTCTGATCAATTCTCATATCTGTTAGCACTGTGCTGGATTCAGCAGATCAAAAACAATGACTTCTCTGGTCAGCTGAATCAATGCTGCATCATGCTTGCATTTTCTGTGACTAATTTTTGCAATTTGCTTGTTCTGGTTAGTCCATTTTCCCTCCAGTAATAATTAACATGTGTTTTTGCTGATGGAGGTAGGGATAAAGGGCTTTCGGATCCTAAAATTGCTGCCAAGAAGCATCAAGTGACAGCATTACTTATCTATAGCTTTGCTCACTCGAACGCTTCTCTCTGCTTCACTTTGCAGTACACTTTTGCGAGACTGTAACTCTAGTTTTGGAGATCACGACATGCCTGATTTAAGTGAGAATTTGCTACTTGTCTTCTGGACCCTGAACTGGAGCTCATCTATATGTAAAGAAAGTTCAGACCTTGTCAACAGCAAAATAGCTTATCTTATCCAGATTGTGTTAGTGAATTTTTGATCTGACAAGCGAAATAATTCTGAAGTGGGTGTCTCCTGAATTGTTAGTTAGAAAAAAACTGAAAGAGCTGCGGATGCTGAAAACAGAAATTGCTGGAAAATGTCAGCAGGTCTGGTAGCAACTGGGGAGAGAAATCGGAGTTAACATTTTGGGTCTTCCAACCTTTCTTGAGAACTGATGGTAGCTAGGAAAAATTTCATTTTTATGTAGAAGATAGAGTGGGGTGGAGGGGGTAAGGAATAAACAACAAGTGGAGATAGAGCCCAAAGAGAGAGAAAAACAGTTGGATAGAGAAAAGAGTGGGTAACGGTCAGCCGAGGAGAAGGGCAGCACAGTGGCTCAGTGGTTAGCACTACTGCCTCAAAGCGCCAGGGACCTAGGTTTGATTTCACCCTCGGGCGACTGTCGGTGTGGAGTTTGCACATTCTCCCCGTTTCTGCTGGGTGCTCCGGTTTCCTCCCAGAGTCCATAGATGTGCACATTAGGTGGATTGGCCTTGCTAAAATTGCCCACGTGTTTGGGGATGTGTGGGTTAGGTGCGTTATGAGACATGCAGGGTTATAGGGATAGGCTGCTAATGGGAACCATTAGTATGTAATAGTAAATCATGTGATAACAAGGCCTGGTGTGTGGCAATGGGTTAAGGACATGGGAGCAGGTGCCTCAGGCCCTAAAATTGTTGAACTCAGTACTGAGTCCAGAAGGCTGTAGAGTTCCCAAGTGCAAAATGAGGTGGTGTTCTTTCAGCTTGTGCTGGGCTTCACTGGAACACTGCAGCAAACCTGAGACAAATATTGCCCAGGGAACAGGGGGTGTGTTGAAGTGGGAGGCAGCTGAAAGCTCAGGGTCTGTTTTTGTATTTAGAAAACATTAGTGTTCTGTAAAGTGGTCACCCAGTCTATGCTTCATTTTCTTCAATGTAGAGGAGACCACATGGCTCACAATGAATGCAGGAGACTAGGTTGAGGGAAGTGGAGGTAAAGCACTGCTCCATGTGGAACATCCTTCTTCAGATAAGGAGATCGAACTGTAAACAATACTCCAGGTGTGGTTTAATCAAGATCCTGTACAGTTGCAGCAGGACATCCTTGGTCCTGAACTCAAACGCCTTTGCTAGAAAGGCCAGCATACTACATACCATCTTCACTGTCTGCTACACCTGCATGCTTAGTTTGAGTGGCTGGTGTACAAGGAAATCCAGGTCTTGTTACATTTTTCCCTTTACCTAACCTATTGCCATTCAGGGAGTCTGCCTTCCAAATGGATAACCTCACATTTATCTGTATTATAGTTCAGTTACCATACATCTGCCCATTCACTCACCTTTTCCAAGTTGGACTGAAACATCTATGTGTTGTACTTAAATTTCACCTTCCCACTCAGCCTTGTTGTTTGCAAACTTGGAAAAATTTCATTTATTTCCTTCATCTAAATCATTAATATGTGTTGTGAATAGCTGGGGCCCAAGCACTGATCGCTGTAGTATCCTCAGAGTCTCTGTCTGCCTGTTGGATAATGACCCATTCATTCATACTCTTTACTTCCTGTCTGCTAGCTATTACTGTATCTATGTCAATCCCCAATTCCATGTGCTTTAATTTTACGCACTAATTGCTTTTGTGCAATCTTATTGAAAGCCTTCTGAAAGTCCAAGTAAACCACATCCGACGAGTCATCCTCATCAACTCTGCTAATTGCATCCTCAAGATACCAGCAGATTTGTCAAGTATTATTCCCCTTTTCTAAAACTATGCTGGCTCTGTCTAACCCTGTCACAGTTTTTGTTCTGTTATTAAATCTTTTATTATGAACTCGAGCATTTTCCCCACTATCAGTGTCAGGCCAGCAGTCTGTATTTCCTGGTTTTCTCCCTACCAACATTTTTGAATAGTAGGTTGTATTATCTAAACTCCAAATCATAGGAACTGTCCCAGAGTCTTTCAAATCTTGAAAAATTACCAGTGATATGGTGACTATTACTAGGGCCACTCCCGTAAGTATTTTGCAAAGTAGATTATCAGACCCTGTGGATTTATCAACCTAATCCCATCAATTTCCCCAACACCATTTCCCTATTAATAGTGTCTACCTTCAGATCCTCCCTCCTCAATAGACCTTGTGTTCCCCAACATTCCTGCTTTGTGAAGACAAAACTAAAGTATATATTCAATTGGACTGACATCTGTTTGTTCCCTATTCTAACTTGTTTTGTGTTCGCAGCAAGCTCACTCAATTTTACGCGTTTTCCCCCCCCCCCCGCCTCCTTAATCAACCCCTTTATCTTTCTTTAACTGAAATCTAAACTGCTCCCAATCCTCAGGTCATCGACCTGAAGCTTCACTCTATGTTTCATTCCATGGATGATCTTGACCCAATTTCAGATTTCTGAAATTTGTAATTTTTTTTTTTGACCTACTCTCCATCTTCTGGCATGTGTCATGTAACTTCACTGGTTGCAATGACGTGGTGAAGATCTGCATTTAGGTTTTGATTAATGTTATTTTTGTAACAAGGCAGTGCGAGAGAGCTTTGATCTTTTAGAGCTACATTTTCAAACTTCTGAAATAGTACCCAGTTTTTTTGCTCTAGATTTTCTGACACAATACTCCATGTCAAAGTGGAGGCTGTGACCCCTTTACTACTCCGAGTGGCCAAATAAATAGATTTTTGAGTGCTGTGGCTCCCCTATGGGGAAGTAATTCATGTTCCATGTACTTGACCTTCCATCACTATAGGCCCTAGCATTCTATGTAAATTAGTAGCTGCTAGTAAATATTCCTTTCTCTGCCAGGTTTTGAGGCAACTGAATTTTTTTCACTTAAATGCAGTACATCACTTTCCATAGGGCAAATAAACAGCTTTATGTTGAACTGATTTCATTACATAGATGAATGTGGATTGCTTTCATTTGCTAAAAAGTGAAAATACTGAAGTCAAGTATAATTGGCTAATGTGTACGGCATTATAGGGCATTTCAAACTGTGTAGTGCATAACGTAGCCATTCATTCCATTGAGTCTGTGTCACTTCTTTGAAAGAGCAAACCAATCTGACCAACTCCTATTTGTGTTTAGTCATGCTTAAGTTTTTAGTTCAAGATTATAATGCTGTTGGAAGATACCAAATCAGATAACTTCAGAATATGAATCTGCTTTATTGGAAAATACTGTCCTGAAGTAATGTGTGGTAAAGATCTTTGCTCTTTTGGGCTAGGCACGTTTCTCCATTAACCTCGACCATGACCTTTTTTGCCCTGAAAGTTGGCAATTTGTGTTGGCAACTCTTCAGCTCTTCAATCAAAGTGACCATTGTACCCATGATAACAAACATCTTGTCAGGACTGGCCAACCAATGTGGTTGCAATAACTCAAAATTTATTCTAATTACCTGGGGACGGGAAGTGAAAGTGTGCGGTGGTTAAAATAATTTCTTTTCGACAATTAGGTAAAATATTAAAGCATTTTGACTTTTTTTTTGAAAACAGACAAATGGTAGCACGAGGTTTGCTCGATACGCTGCGGGCAGTCAGCGATGATGAAAAAGACTGCCTGGCAGTGCTGGAGAGAATAAACAAGCTAGCAGAAGATCCAGGTAACATGATGTACATGTTTTGTATTTGTCCTATGTGAATGATCTGTAACATAGTAAACAGTATTTGAAAGTATTGAAACATATCATACCATTTGGTACATTTCTGATATTACACTTCATTCCTATTTGTGCTGTCTGAAGTTCCAACATTTGTGGATACTTGATCTCTCTTCATTAGTGCATGAATATTGGAGTTGGAAAAAGCATTGTGGTTTTTGTAAGTTGTATTGGCAATTTAAACCACTGTCTAATGACGGAATTTATTTCTTCCGTGTGGTTCAAATTAACATTTTGAGTTTTGCCAATTTCTTTTGTTTTTAAAGCCACTTACTTCTACTTGCTTTTGGATTGGGTACTGCACTGTTTGATGAGAGAAAGCACAGTGTGCTGACGTGACAGAAGAATTTGGTGCCCTCACATAGGCTTGAATCATAGAATCCCCACAGAGTGGAAACAAGCCCTACAGCCCAACAAGTCCACACCGAACCTCGGAGCATTCCACCCAGACCCATCCCCATGTAATCCACCTAATCAACACATCCCTGAACACTGAGCAATTTAGCATGGCCAATTCACCTAACGTGCACATCTTTGGACTGTAGGAGGAAACTGGACCACCTGGGGGAAACACACGCAGACACGGGGAGAATGTGCAAACTCCACACAGACAGTTGCCTGAGGGTGGAATTGAACCCAGGTTGCTGGCGCTGTGAGGCAGCAGTGTTAACCACTGAGCCACCGTGCCACCCCTAAGGCGTGACCGTGACTAATAAGCAAATGACAAGCAATTTAGATAATTGTAGTTGTTCATCCACACAAACCAGAACAGAAAGAAGGGAAAAGTGCATCTGTTTCGTTTTGGATAAGTGTGTCTGTCATTTTATTTCCCATGCGTTATCTGAAGGCCCTGTTAAATTTGGGAGAATAGATCAAATCACCACTTTTTTCAGTTTAAACTCATGATTTGACTACACACTTGACCAAAAGAGCTTCTTTGTAGTTTTACAGCACAGTCACTTACGTTGTCTCTGGGGAATTTGCTTGTGATATTAGGTTGTAAAGGAATCTACAATTGCAGTTTACTCCATTATTATATATTTGAAAGTTGATTCTGATTGTTTATGAACAAAGAACAGGATTAGGCCACTTGACTTTTTGAGCTTGCTCTGCCATTCAATAATATCATTACTGACTTGATTTTAACCTCAACTTGACATTCCTGTATACTCCTGATAACGTATCTACCTATGTCTAAAAGATATTTAATTCTGTAAAGACAGTAAATGCAGAAAGGAAATTCCAAAGACATTCGGGCATCTATGAAATTTTTGTTTCTCCTCCTTGTACTGAATGGACAGCCCCTTTTTAGACATTACCCCTCGTTTCCTCCAAGAGGGGAGGTGGTGGCCTGTGGTAATGTCACTGGGCTTAGTAATCTGCAACTCCAAATAAATACCCTGGGGTCATGTGTTCAAATCCCACCATGGTGGATGGTGAAATATGAATTCAGCAACATCTTGAATTTAAAAGCTGTTCTAGTCGCAACCGTGTAACTACTGTCAATTGTTGTAAAAACTCATCTGATTCACTAAAGTCCTTCAGAGAAGGACATCTGTCATCTTTACCTGGTCTTGTCTCCATGTGACCCATAGCAATGTGGTTGATAGTTAACTGTGCTCTGGGGAATTAGAGGTGGGCAATAAATCCTCGGCTAAATAGCAATGCCATCAAAACAAATTTTGTAAAAATTAAAGAGGAAATGTCCTTTCCGCATCCACCCAATCAAGTTCCTTCAGGATCTTGTTTTAAATAAGTTATCTCTGACTCACATAAACTCCTGGAGCGTACAGGCCTGCCCTCTCCTCATAAACCAAACTGCTCATTGCAGGTACTAGTCTTGTAAAAGTTCTCTGAATTGTTTCAAAAGTATTAATATAAATGTGATAACCAGTAGTGTAGACTTACTGGATACCTGCATATTAACCTTAAGCAATGCATGCACAAGGACACCCAGATCCCTTTTCTTGTGAGCTCTGCAACTTCTCCCCATTTAGATAATATGCCTTTTTTTTCTGCCAAAATGGACAACTTCCCACCTTATGCTCCATTTGCCAGATCTTTGCCTCTCGTTTAACCTGCCTATACCCTGTTGTGATTATCTTCATTGTACAGAAGTGCAAATTGTTAATTATTGACTTTGCTATGACCCTGTTCAAAAAGAAATAGTGACAATCACTCTTGATGTCCAGGGAAGAAGTAAATTTTATAATTTTAAGGTAATTTGACATTAGCCTCCCAGTTGTGAGAAGTATTTCCTTGAAGTGCACGTCTGAAGAATATTTTACTTAATACTTGAGTAACTGCTTTATTGACTTCTTTAAATTTCAGCATATATTTACAGTCTTGAAAAGGCAATTATGTGAAGCATTCTAGTTGCTATCTTACGTTAAGTTTTGCATTAGGAGTGGCAAAAGCATTAAAAACTGTGTGCGCAGATTTGATCTTTAGTGATGTGAGACAGTGAGAATTGGAGTTAAGGATGTTGTTTGAAAGTGCAGTAACCCATTTTTGTTATCCATTCCAATATGAGCCTGTTTGATTTTTATAGCATTCTACCGTATTTAAAATACATGATCTACTGCAGAAAGTGCTCTCATCAGCCAGAGTTTTTTGGAATTGTATTATGTGCTTACCACTGCTCCAAGTTAAGCACATAATTACTGATGACTCATTCCATCAGGCTCAAGACTGTTGTCATAACCTTTTGAGATTACAAGTAACCAGTGCACAAGTTTCTGTGCCAGACGATAATTTGTTTAAACTTGTTTGAAGAGTTGAAGTGAATTTGGATAGTAAGTAACATATGTTACCTGTATTTATGACTGTTGCTAGGTGTTTCTGCTCAAGGGACTGGAACTTGAATGATTTAATTCCATATGCTAGTTGTGCGTGCAGTTTAGGAAAAATCTCCAGACATAGCATTATGTAAATATGAAACCAGGAAAGAATTATTGAAAAGAACATTATAATAAGCAGAAACACTTCCCTTCCTGAAGTAACTTGAATAACTTACAAGTATCAGGAGCAGAGCTCCAAACACTTCTTGACTAAATGAATAAATAATTAATGTTTGTCCTGGTAAGTGAATCCAATTTCCATCATGCAACTTGTGCTATGATTTCTGTGGTGTACACTTTGTTTATTCAGGAATAAAAACAGAAGTTGCTGGTAAAGCTCAGCTGGTCTGGCAGCATCTGTAAAGAAAAAAGACCTGAGTTAATGTTTCGGGTCTGATGACCCTTCCTTAGAACTGATGGTAGCTGGGAAAATGTCGGTTTATATGCAGAAAATAGGGAGATGGGGTCGGGAGTAAATGATAGGACAGAGCCTGAAGAGAGACAAGAGCAGTTGGATAGACAAAGGAATTGATAACGATCTGGCATGGATGGTGAATAGCTCTTTAATGGGGACTGTTCGTGACTAACAATAGGTAGCATGTAACGGCAGGCTATGTGATAACAAGGCTTGGTGTGTGGGTTAGGGGTTTAGGACATGGGAGCGTTTAGGCCCTAAAATTTATCAAACTCAATATTGAGTCTGGAGGGCTGCAGGGTCCCCAAGCGGAAAATGAGGTATTGTTCTTCCAGCTTGCATTGAGCTTCACTGGAACACTGCAGCAAGCCAGAGACTGAGATGTTGGCCAGGGAACAGGGTGGTGTGTTAAAGTGGCAGGCAACAGGTAGCTCAGGATCTTTTTTTGCAAGCAGAAAGTCGATGTTCTGCGAAGCGGTCACACAGTCTACGCTTCGTTTCCCCAGTGTAGAGGAGACCACATTGTGAGCAGTGAATGCAGTCAGCTAGATTCTGGGAAGTGCAGGTGGAGTGTTGCTTAACCTGGAAGGTATGTTTGGGCCCTTGGACAATGGGGAGGGAGGAGGGAAATGGGCAGTTCTTTTGGTTTTTACTTTGTTTATTCACTTGTGGGACATATGTCTCTTGCTAGGCCAGCATTTAATCACCCGCCCTAATTTGTTTGGAACTGTATTATGAGCTTATCACTGCTCCAAGCTAAGCACACAATTATTGATGGCACGTTGCATAAGTACTATCGGTATGTTTTGGGGGTACCAGTTACATAACTGTTTTACATTTATTTCAGTTGCATAATCAGGGATTCCAATATTTTAGTGTGAAATATTCTTGGTGTTCTCTCTGTATGACTTCATTATGTAGAACTGGGAGACTCCACTACAGGATCAGAATCAAGTTTTCATTAAAGATAAAGTTAACCGGTAATTAAACGCAAGTTCAAGAGTGAAAGCTGGAGAACGTAAGAAAGATAAGAAAAATAACTTCCAACATAACTTATGAAATTTGTGATGCAATATAGGCCATTTAGTAAAGGGAGTGCAGCAGGTTCCATTTCCTGGGCAGTGAAAAATCATCAATTTTGCAAACTAGTGAATGA